CTGACAGCAGGCTGTGAAATGGTTGTGACATTCACTATCTTGACTTAAGCCCTGTATCAAGACTCCATGCCAGGGAGTGCAGTCATGCGATAAGCAGAGTAGTGAAACACGTCTTAATTGCTGCATACTCCACTTAGTTGCTTTCTGGGGCCTTTTCTTCATGTGCTTTTGCAGGATCAGGACCACGAATTAGCTTCTTCTTACACTGCTTGTGACCCTTGACTGAACAGGGGAAAGAAAAGATAGACTGTGTACTCACAGAGACATAGCAAATAAAAGGACAGTTCACCTTTTATTTTACCTTCTGGAAGTGCAACTTTTATTGAATTGCTGTTAGGGGAGGCTTGGTGAGATGTAAAGTGGACTTGTCCTGACTTCCTCCAGTGATCCCAGCACTGCAGTGCTGTGATGCCTGTCTTGTATTTTCTTGGGTTAAGAAAAGTGAAGCGAGGCAGCAGGAAGCAAGGATGTAAACTTCTCAGAAGCAGCAGGAAAATAATGACATCACTGTTTTTTCAAACTTTGAGCAATCTTAAAGTTCTAGAGCCATTTTCATCATCTCTATTTCATGAGGAAAATTGTGTATTTTTGAAAGCACTTGATGTGATCATATTCTTAACTTATTATAGTGCTGGCATTTACAGACATGGCAACTGCTTTGAAATAGTGTTTCTTTTATTACAGACCTGATTAGTTGGGAGGGAATGGGAACTAGAAATTTTTATAACAAGTACTGGCAGTATCTCAACCCCCCCTTTAAATATCTTCCGCTTTTATTTCTTTTTATTTCAAGTCATTATGTGAGGTGCATGTTATCCACTGAAATAGGAAGGACATGAGGCAGTTAGAATTCAGCATTCTTGTGAAGTAATCTGTTCCAGCAAAAAAAGGCTGTGAAATTTTTAATAAAAAGTAAGGAAAAAAGTTCTGAAAGTTTCTGACTCTGGAAACCCACTTTTTTCTTCTTAAGATTTTACTTGTTGGTGTAATTCTTTAAGGAGGTTGGACTGCTTTTGAAAAAAATGATGCTGAATGAATATCATGGGATAACACAGAAGCCTTTGTAGGATATTCACTGACCTACCTAAGAAACCCAAGAGAGATAATTACAACCTTTGGTAGTCTACATGTAAATGCATTTTGCAAGCGATTTTCCATGCAAAAAATGCAAATCAGTTGCATTGTGGAATCTGAACTGTAAAAGAGATGCCTATTTCAGGCAATTTTTGATGAGTTCCAGATTTAAAAAAAATAAAATTTTGGCATATTAAATTATTAGGCATCTTCACTAAGGAAGATGTAAGGAAGATTTACGGTGCAATGAAATACTTCTGCAACCTAATTTAGAACTTGACAAATCTGGTTTTATAGGGTTGAATTATAAGGGATACCTCATTACTTGTGGGGAAAACTTCTACTATTATTTGTGATGCCCTGGTCTTCTCTTTGGTTGGGCTGTGCTCTGTAGGAGCTGCTGTGAGCAAGATGTCTCAGCTGATCCTTTTTCAAGCGAGCTGTGCAGGATGAAGTCATAATTAAAGATCACATCCTGGCAGACCTTTCTTACCACATGTGGTTGCTGATTTCAAGTTAAATGGTGTTCAGTCCTCATTGCTCCTCTCGGTCAGAAATGTAGTTTTTCTTAAAAGCACAGAATTGTATTTCATTGTCCGATATTCCTTACTGATAGCGAGTATCATATACTGTATATACAGTATCAGTGGTTACAGAAAATTTTGCTACACCAAAATTACATGTGTGCTGCTTTTTTTTTTATCCTCTGTTCCTTTCTTCTGCATGCAGGCCTCTTGATTGCACAAGGGCATGCTTTGAGCTTAAAGTAAGAGGCAGCTTATGTGGAGTATGACCTGGCATTATGGCTTGCACAGCACATAGAGAACATTAAAAAAATCCCATTATTTTTTCAGTTTAGAAAGTCTATGAAAAATTTGGGGTAGCTAATATTTTGCTCCTCTTTGGAGACCACTGACTGTATTCTTACAGTGCTGTTTATAGGTTCTCAGCTGAGAAAAAAATCTGGAATCTAAGTTTGTGCATTCAGCTAAACTGAAGAAGAAGTTTTACCTGGAAATAGTATTTCTTTGTAGGATAATAGTTTCTTGTGTGCATTGTTTCCCCCTAAAACTGACATGCAGAGTGATTGATCCTAAGCAAATTGCACACACGTGTAACTACAGCCATCTATGTGTACAGCAGCATGTAAGAAAGGAAAACAAAACCACAGGCTTTGAGTTAAAAAAATAAATCTTTTGAGGACCTTCTCTCCTCATTTCTGTGAGAAAGAAATCTCAGCTTCTCCTGATGCTGTGGATCCACAAGTGTGCTTTCTGAGGTGATGTACCTGCCTCATGGGAGGAGTAAGGCATTGCTGGATGGCTTACGTGGTCAGGTATGTAGCAGAGGAAGTGTTTACATTTAGGAGACTCTCATATTGAATACTTAAATGACTTTCTGGTAAGCACAGCTTCAAAAGTTTAAGGAGAGTAGCAGTTTGGTGTGTGTTGAATGTTCACTATGTTATGCACTTAGCTTCAACTATAAACCATTTGCTGAGTTTTAGTGACTATGATGTTTAGTCTTTGTCCACCCCCCCGCCCCCCATTTAGACATTAGTAGCCAAGTGTTTTGCCTCTGTATGTAGCCTTAAGTTGCACTTTTTTCTCATGTAGTCATCAGATCAAATTATTTATAAAATGAGGACATCCTTTTGGACTTCATGTGTAAACAGTCTTAAATATGCACACAGGCAGAGAGATTCTTTTCTGTTTATCCACAGTTGAAGGCTAAACATTAATAAATGCTAACATTAAATAGTGGGGTTTTTCCCCCCTCCTTGTTTTCACTGGAGTTTTCCCTTTAAGGTTCAGATTCCTCCTCTAGATTACCCAAAGAACTTTCCCCTTGCCCTTGATCAAGATGCTGGTTGCAGTATGTCTCTGCTACTGTGATCATTGTGAGCTAGAGTAAGCAAGTGGTTCCTCTGGAGTGGTTCCTGCTGGACAGGAATTGTAATAATTAAATAATTTAAATATTTAAAACCACGTCTGCAATGCTGGCACGTGTGTTTGAGGGTAGGATCTACTGTCTTCAGGCAATATGGTGACTCCAGAACTCTTAATTCTGGAATTAGTGGTGAGAACTGGAAACATGCCACCAACTCACCAGAGTACCATCTGAAATTTCCTTGGAGCCAGGTTGGTCTTGGCCTTGGCTTATTTCTAAGATACCTCAACAGACAACAAATTTGTGGTATGTATTTGGGGTTGATGGGGAAGGATTCTCAATAAAGATGAGAGGTGGATGGTGTCTCAAACTGTTGCAACAGAGAGACTCTCATTTTGCTCTCTCTGCTTTTTTGAATATGTTTTGCTGGAGTCCTTTTTAACAAAACTTGAAACGTCCTCTTAGCCAATGACAGCAAGGTTTGCAAATCAAAACCAAATCTGAGCATAGCACTACACTTGAGTGAGCTGTGCTAATCTAAGACAAGCTTCTGTTTCCTGCTTGGAGCTTCTACCCCATGCTCTCGTTTGGCACATGTACAGCACTGACAGGCACCTTTGAGGCACAGATCAGTTAAAGAAGTGTCTGTGGTGGCAACTGCTCCAAGCTCAGTATTTCATGTGCTGTTTGGCTACCTACTCATGGTTAGGAAGTAGGTCTTTGGAGTCATGTAGGCTGGAGGAGAGTCATACATTTGTGAATTAACACCTGTA